TTTTTTTTTCTCGTGTGTTTCTTGCGAGTCCCCTGCCAATGAGGCAGGGGGGGAGGAATCCGTGAATTGCTCAAGCCGTCCGTGATCTGCTCAAGCTGTGTTTTGTCAGAGGATTGTAAGGCTCATCACACTGGCACTTAGGGGAATGTATCCAGCCATTTTCACGGCCGGATCCGTGTGCCCGTTTTTTTCCCCTTCTATTCTCTTTTTCGAATCTGACAACCTGGCCTTGGGGCTGAGATGCCCTCACTGAGGGCACACTCACACTACCACTTCTGAGAATGTATACAACTGCAATCACGGCCAAAGCTTTGTTTCGTTCCTTTTTTTTTTTCTTTTTTTTTCTGAGTTCACGGCCGCAACTTTTCTTCTTCTTCTTCCTTTTTTTTTTTTTGTTCTTTCCGTGAGAGTACCAGAAAGAAAACGGAGTGGTACCCAGGCTTGGCAAACTCGGAGCGCAGTGAAATTCAGGGTCGGCAAAAACAGGCTCGGAGGTACTAGTGCTTTACGGCCCAGGGTGTTGTAGAGGCCAAGGACTAGACCCACGACGATCGCTGGCAGCGGCAGCCGGTGGTTGTTCTGACATGATAGGCCACCTTCCCTACCCTTCCCCACGTTAATGGTCCCAGCGCACGACCTTTCCCACCTATCCTACCTCAGTGTGACCAGCACTCAGGAGTCAGGACCATCACCCTACCAGTATTGAGGGCAACGTGGACCAGACAGCAGTGACAAACACCCCCTAACACTATCACGCCCACGCCCCTTTTCAAAGTTTTTGGGTGGGAAGTACCGTCCCTACCCTGCTACTACCACCCCCAGCCCCCTTTTCAGAGTTCTTGGGTGGAAGGTTAACGTTTGCAGAAAGCCAGGTACAATTTTGTCAATGCCTGCTGAAGCCCGTGCTTGCCGAAACCCCACCACTAACACCCTCACCATAAAGCCCCCAACTCCCGACCCCCAACCCCTGAAATACCCCCCCTGCCGCCAACTCCCCAATTGAAACTTCTCTGTTCAAAGTTTTCTTTGTGGATTCGGAGCGATCTCGGAGAGCGCAGTCCAACCATGTTTTCATTTTATTTATTTATTATTTTTTTTACCCACTTTTGGGCCCTAACTGGAATTCCGATTGGACCACCGGGGGTCCAACCGGCCGGTTGCCTGCACAGCCCTGACATAAACCCTACTGTCTTCCTCCGGACACAACGCACCCTCTTCATGACTCTATCTGCGCAGAAAGATAGGTTGTGCACGTCCATGATCGAGGTGCACATTTTGTTCAGGGGAAGATGGTAGCATATGCAGACTGCAAGGAAGTATCAAGGAAGTATCAAGGAAGTATCAATGAAGTATCAAAGAAAGAATCAAGGAAGTAGCAAGACTGCAGGAGCCGCAGACGAGAAGGGGTTTGGTCATCTTCGAAAAGGGAAACACACTTGTTAAAGACGTTGCTGGCCTGGTTGCATGTGGTTTGGGAGAAGGAGGTGGCTGTTTCATTGTTTCAAAAGCAGAATTCAGAGTCATGTGTGGAGCAGGCTGTATTGCAGCAATGGTGGATCCTACATCTGAACAGAAGGAATGATTATAATTTCAGAACTCTGGTGCCTGCTCCTGGTGCTGCACCCATCTTCCTCCACGCCATATGATAAGCTCTTCAAGTTGTTGTGTTGCTGTCTGTACTTGTCAGTGCATGCACTTTGCTCAATGGTTTTGAATGCTTGTGCATGGTCTTAGTTGTGAAGTGGTTGTGAATGGGTTATGTTGGGGCAGCGGGATTTGATCCCGCGATCTGATTTCAAGTCGCAATGCTTTCATTTGTTCTTTTTGTTGTTTTGCCGCTGTCGAGATTCACACCCAGGACCTGTAGGTAGGATCTCTGCTTGGCTTCAGCACGGTGTGGCTGCTTCCGAATGTCTTGCTGTGATCATGCTGGTGGTTCCTGACACAGTGGAACTGTCTCTCAACCCTTTCTGCGATCGCTATTGTGTTCAACAAATTTGTGTGGAAATGCAGTTTGGAAATGGCAGCGATACATGAGATGGCGAGTGAAGGCAATTTGGAGGGAGTCCTGGCGGAGTTGGCGAAGGGAGTAGCTGTTAATCTTCCAGGCAAGATGACCGAACTCTTGAGCAGTCGTAGATGTGCTTTTTGTTTTCCCTTAGCAGCTTGTGGGGTTGTTTGATTGGATCCAGGAGAAATTGATCTTTACGTAGTACGTACTCATACGATGCAGTTTGTGTGTGTGTAGTTTTAGCTTTACAACAAAAATCGTCAGAAATATATAGCTGATTTTTTTATATTTTTTTAAAAGCTATGTTCTTCTCTCAATTTCACCTCGCACTACCTACCTACCACTACTCCTAATTGTAGGCATAACTCAGTTGGTAAGGTACGCAAGTGGCCTTCAGGAGGTCTTGGGTTCAATCCATACTTGCAACCGCACGAGCCGCACCTGCAAAGATCGGATCCGTGTGGAGATCCGTACGGGGGGTGCTTGATCTCCGCACGAGCCGCACCCGCACAGACCGGATCCGTGCGGAGATCCGTACGGGGGGTGGCCGTGCGGAATTTTTTTTTTTTTTTCTTTTTTTCTTTTTTTTTAAGAGGGGTCCGAGAGGTGTTACCTGGAGGGGTTATAGTACGACCTGGAGGACGACTAAGGAGAGTGGAGATGGAGGAGGAGAAGAGGTGGAGGGAGGAAAAGACCGTACATGAACCCCTAAAGTGGCCTGTACATCAAGCCCTAACGGCCCCTGCGCATCAAACCCTAAAGGACCGTCTAGATCAGCGTGACCCCTGTGCAAGGATGACAAACACAAATCGAGAAAAGGTCGAACAACAAAACCAGGGTCCTTCGGGACATCCGGCGCAATGGGAACTACACAGAGATGATTAGCATGACCCTGACGCAAGGATGACCCACGATTCGAGAAAAGGTCCAAAAAAAAAAAAAAAAAAAAAAG